GGGAGACGTAGAAACAATAGCTGGAGGCTCCACGCTGCTTTTCTCCCACTGACGCCAAGTTCTTCCCAGAGGATGGTATTTTGCTGTTGCTTACACCTGGACTGCACCCTTGTCTGCCAAGAGATTGCACGGACGTTTGCGGCAGACTTGGCTGCTAGTACTTGCTTATCGGTCCGTCAATAATGTGAGCTGGAGTAGAAATCCATTTTGTTTCTCTACAGCTATGCAGATTCTGTGGGACTCGGAGTGAAATACAGTGAGGAACTAACAATTAGTAGTTATTTAAAAGTAAATTCAGCAGAAGTGGCTCTGAGCACATGCAAAGATAATCTCTTGAATAAGTGAGTGACATTATCATGTCCTCGCTTTTTAGCTGGCAGGCTTTGGACAGGCCCTGTGCAAGCACTTACTGTTTCCTTAAATTGCAGTGTTTTGTGCAGTAGAGGCCATAGAAGCCCTAAGGTGTCCGGCTAGATGGAAAATTACGAGTGACTGAGACATACTGTCCTGCTGTTCGATTACTCTGAGCGAGGCTACTACTTTCACTCCACTTTCAGTGAAAATAGGTCTCAGATTATTGATAAAGGACTGCAAAATCAGATAGCTGCTTTACTTGCTTTGCCTTCCAATTGGGCCCCTGATGTCTGCTTGAGGAAAGCAGGAATATGAACGAGGCAGGAGGTAGCAACAAAATCTGCTAGCCCTTTGGACAACACAGTTTCGGTGTGTTTAAAAAAAAAAAAAAAAAGAGGAGAAAAAAAAAAGCATGGAGGTAGCGGAGTATTGAGCAAGTAGGACCTGCATTTAAATATCTATAAGGTGCCCCTCAGATTTGGATTTGCAGGGCATGTCAAAATACTTTTTAGAATGATGGCAAATCATTGTTTTCTTCCTGAATCAAGAAGTACCTGCAAGTATGTGAGGCTGAAGCTCATGTCACCTTTCTGGGATGGATTTTAGTCTGTGAGCATTGTAATACATCTAAATTTCTCTGCAGCATTTTAACAAAACAAAGTTTTGGTGAATGTCTTCTAGCCCTCTTGCGGGAGCTGTTTTGGAAAAAAAAAAGTCAAAATTCATAAATCAATTTCTTTAATTTTCACTTTAATCATTAAAATTACGTAGCAAAAACTATAAAATTTTTGCGTAAGCCTTTAAAGAAATGTTGCTGTCAACAATTTTTCTCCTCTTTCTTCAAAGTAGTACGTAGGGAATGAAAATACTTTTATTGGGACCCTGTGTTGTGTTTTGTGGCTTTGAGGCAAAATACGGTAATCTGTGACTAGTGTATATTTACAGTGGGCACTCAGTAACAGCGGCTGTTACTGCATTTATACCAGTACTGCTGCTCTCCAGAAGCCTGACGCTATTACGGCGCTCTGGCTCCACAGTGGTGCTGAAATTAATTTTTTTTTTTATTTATGACTGTTTAAGAAATGGAATTGGCTGCCCTTTCATGGTCTACTCAGCATGTCTTTACAGCATCACGTGTAGTGGCAGGGTAAAATTAAAATACTTGCCACAGGAAAGAGAAGTAAAGGCAGTAGAAGAGCAACTTTGTTTCTGAAGTGAGATTTGGAAATAAAATGTCAGCATTGATAGAGCATAATAAGAGCCATCTACCAGAGGAACAGCTCTTTTTACAGTAGTGATGGGACTGTTTGAACAGTACCGAAGAGTTGAAGGAGGGACGGTGCCTATGGCAGCATCCAGAACCAATAAAACAGGCCCTTCGAGGATGACTTTGGTTTAGAAATCTTTTTTTTTTTTCTTCCCTTTTTAAAATACCTTCTGGTTTTGAGTGCTCTCAGTCTCAATTTTAAGATGACTGTATGCCCTGAATGGCAAAGAACTTCTTTTTGTTTTTCTGATCGAAGTGTAGATCTGAGTATATGCAGGTATTTCTGGAGCAGCACAACAAATGCGCCACATGTCCTACGTTGATATTGTGTGTCAGCAGCAATACGCTAAAAAGATGAGTCCAGAAGTTGGCCAGCATCTGTTCGGGGAGAGCTTGGCAAGATACATTTCAAAACAAAGGGGATGGCTTTGCAATGAATTCTCAAGGGAGCAAGACAAATGGAGCAGTGTTGCAGAGAGGTGATGGGATTCACAACCTGCTTTGTTTCTGGTGTCGTTGGGCAAGTACAGCCGCTCTGCCTGGTGGTGAAGGACCTGGCTCTGGAGAAGAGCACGGGAACTGCCATCGCATAGCAAGACACTTCACCACTTCTGCTGGGTTAACGCAGTCACCCATGTCCCAAAGCAGATTTTTCCTTTGGCATGACGTCTCTGGTCACTGCTGCAAATCCTGTGGCTCTTAGTCATCGGGCCTGAGTCCTTAGTCATTTTTCTGTTTGAAAACGAAGAAAAGAAAAAAAGCCCACAGATCTGGGGAAACCCCCGAGGGAAAATCTGCTTTGGTGGCCGAGAGGCCTGTGGAAATTCTGAAGGGAGATTTTGACAGTAAGAGGTGTTCATGTGCTGCATAATTCAAAGCATGAAAAAAAACAAAACAGCAAAGAATCTGGGGAGTTCACAAAGTTCTGAAACAACTGTTTTGTGCTACAGAGTTTGTATTTGTTATACTGGTAGTTAAGTTATGCTCAGGACCAGCAAAAGCTATTCTGAGTCTGCTTTTGTGATTGAGGGGTCAAACGCTGTTACCTTCTGACTCGCTTTTTTTAATGCTGGGATTCATTTTAGGTGCTGATATTTAGTGCTGAAATCATGACCTCTAATAGTGAACTGTTTATATGTTAGAATTCAATCAGATCTACAGCAAAACCTTAACATTTTTATAATAAATGTGAAAATAGTGTGAATTTGTTCATCTGTTTTTTGTTTGTTTCAGTGTCCTCCATTTAGCAATTATCCACCTTCATACCCAGCTGGTGAAAAACCTCTTGGAAGTGATGCCTGATTTGAATTATAATGACATCATTAACATGAGAAACGACCTTTATCAGGTGCGCAGTTGTGGTGGTATACGTGTTGTTGATTGCTCAGCCAGTAAAAAAGAAATTGCATCCGTCTTATTTTTCCTCTCTTTGTTGGAATGAACCTAGATCGGACTGTAATGCAAACGAGTTTAGAAACACAATGACATATTGTGAGGTGGTGGAGGAGCAAGAGCGTGTTTTCACTGTTGTGGTTGATAACTCCCCTTGATGTTAACAGAGACGTCTCCATGCGTTAATCGTCAAACAGGACAAAAATACAAAATTCTTCAGTTCATTATTTGGCTTCTCCGTTATTAAACCAGCGGTATGGATTACAGTGTGCCAACTCTGGGCTCTTTGACCTTTCTATCGTAGGGTAACTGCAACGAACTATGCCCTTCCTTCCTATAGCCCCGATGGTATTTGTGCCCATCACATGAGCACCAAGATTTCCCTTTCATTTCTAGATTCACATTATAGCGAAACAAAAAAAAGCCCATCCCTGTGTCTTTTACCAAGTAGGAAAAGAACTCTTAACTGCCAGGCACAATTCTGTCTCCTCAATTTCACCCATGACAGAATCTGAGCTTTTTGTATGGTAACTCAGACGGGCTTTAAAAAGAGCTGTGGAAACCTGCGTGGAAAAGAATCTCTTCTCAGCTGTACGTGCCATTCGGTTGTCCCGAAGGTAATCAGCTGGAGGTTATGCGGCAGCACTCTTGACATTTGTGTCGTTTCTTTTGCTGTGAACAGTAAAGGCAGGTTTTTATTCTACACAGTCCCAGGTGGTTTATTTTTACTTTGTTCTCTTTCGCATTTCATTTTTATGTTCATGTAAGGCAAGTTTGAAATGTGGAGGCTGGTGAAGGCAAGCAGAAGATTCTGAATTGAATTCTGTGCCCTCTGTTTAACAGAAACCTAAAGCAAAGCTGTGCTCCGCACAAGAAATAAATGTCGAACTACCAGGACCTCTACAGCTATCCCCACCTTCTACTTAAACCTTAAGCCAGTGGTGGGAGATAATCTGAAAGCCAAATCGTTACATGTACCTTAGAGATTCAGCAATTAATTGCAAATACGTTGACAAACCTATTGATAAGCACAAATACGGAGCTGGAATTAGTCCTTTTTTACAGTCCTCTGTTTATATAAGGATAATGAGATGGAAATGGAATCTTGTGCAATTTTTAGATTATTTTAGCGTAGGAGATGTGATTTCCCAAACCTTGCTGGAATGCTTACTGTTTAAATACATACATTTCCGAGTCTGTTCTACACGATGCCGTTCACTGACAAGACTGTCAAGAATGCAGTATGCAGTCGGCCTTTGGAAATGCAGCCTCTCAGTGCCGCAGGTGTCTTTGCACAAAAAGGGAGGGCGTGCAAGTAGAATCAGCTAGCTGGACACACACCGCATAAATGCGCAGTTGTTCTGCACTTGGACAAACACACAGAACTGCAGGATTTTCTTCTTTTCTGTGCAGTCACCTCGAGGGATACGGAAATCCTAGGCCCGTGGCTGCAAACTTCCTATTCAGGAGCAAAACGAGAGCATAGCTCTGTGCCAAAGGCGGATTTGAGCAGGCCCTGGAAAGCGCCTGTGCTCCCTCTGCGGCATGAAGTTGGCTGTGGGGCAGCTGGAAGCAGGGTTACGGTGTCTGGGGGCACAGGGGTTACCTCATGTCCCAAGTCCCGTGCGCCGCAGCACTCTAATAGCCAGGTCAGTGCCCTGGCTTATAGAGTAGGCAACATCTTTGTTCCTCCCAAAGTCCAACTGTTGATGCCGGCAAGGCAGCTTTTATTCCCAGTAAATAGAAACCCTGTTTGTAGTATGCAATAGAAAAAAATGTACACATATGCCAGCTTTTCATTTATGTTAGCTTTGAAGTGGAGCAACATCTTCTCACACTGGGACCTTTTACGGGTTTGAGAGATTTCTGTGGAAGTGATGTAGCTGTTGCCTATCTGCTCAGGGCTTCCTTCTGTCCCTTCTAGACCCCCTTGCACCTGGCAGTAATCACAAAGCAGGCAGAGGTGGTAGAAGACTTGCTGAAGGCTGGAGCAGATGTCAGCCTTCTGGATCGCCATGGCAATTCTGTCTTACATTTAGCTGCTACTGAAGGAGACGACAAGATTTTGAGTCTGCTCCTCAAGCATAAGAAGATATCTTCGATGGTCGACCTTTCCAATGGTGAAGGTATGGAAAGCTAATGGCTGTATTTTACACTTACCTACTGGACAAGCACACCTCAATTCCTGCCAACACAGCGTTTCTACGCAGGTAGATACTGACCTTGGAAATAGCATCTTTCCC